CCGCTTTGAATCTATTATATTTTATTTTAACGTCGAAGACGCAAAGTCAAATGGCCGAAATCCGGAAAACAATCCTGTTTTTGAGGTATGCTAGGTCAACGTTTTCGCCTGAGCCCCCCAGACTGATTTCGGAAAGTAACACCCCTACCATCATTCCTCCATGTTTTGATCTCCACATGGATCTCGTGGGGGAGGAGGGCGGGGCCGGTAAGCCATGGCGGTAGTCACATTATAGAAAACGCTGGTCCCTGACGTTACTGCACCTTGATTGAAAGGTAGCTGTGAAAAGTGACAATATTGACGTTGTTCTGTGTACATGAAAGTGCGAAGCTGATTTTTAAACCCACAATTTTAACGTAATGGAGACAAAATATGTTTGAAGCGCTATTTTGACGGACCTTATGGTGATATACGCCGCGATCGGCATCATACGTGGGATGGGGGTTAGAATATCATAAGTGAGCCAATAACGGATTCAACTTACTTTGGTGTGGAGCGGTACCCAGTCGCATAGATCAAAGCAAACGCTGCTATTCACTATTTACTCTGCATTTACTATTCATATTCACGCTGCTATTTACGATTCACCATACTATTCGTGGCGATTAGTGTATCGGCACTCTTTCCCGGCACATCCCAACGACACTGACACAAGCGCCGCCAGCATGCCAGCCTGCAGAGCTTGGCGCACAATAGGCAGGCCGGCGGCCGTCGGCGCGCCAGCAGGGCCGGCAGCGTCCGGCGGAGAGCGGCGCGGCGCGTCACGAGGAGCCTGTTACGGCGCCCGTCCCGGACGACACGCCACTCGGCCGGCGTGCCACGCACAGCGGCGGCCGCGCCCCACCCTGGCGCCCGCTCGTCATCCGGCCATAAAACAGCGCAGTCGAGCACCGCTAATCAGCCCGGCGCGGTAAAAATTGCAGCAGCCACTCGCCGCGCGCACGGGAAGCTCCCGTCTGCCCCCCCCCCCCCCCCCCGCCGCAATCTGGGTCGCTGGCACGGGCGGCCGGGTCGGAGGAGGAGCGGCGAGCTTCGGCGCACAGTCGTGCATGGCACCGCGCTCCCGACCACAGCGCCGCGTCAGGAACGTCACCGGCAATGCCGCGGCGACACGGAAGCGTCAGGACCGTCGCGCCGTGGCTCACAACGGCGGTCGGCGTCGCTCCTTAGCTGGAGAACAAAGAAATCGATTCGCTTGTCCTGATTTTACAATTACTACATCCGATTCATGCTAAGAAAAGAAGAAAATGGTTTATTTCCGTATGTTTTAGTACTTGGTCATATATATATATATATATATATATATATATATATATATATATATATATATATATATATATAATATCCGAAAGATTTCTGGTAAGTAATAACGCAGCCATCGTCACAAATGTACCCCTGGTACCGGGGCATTACAACTAACTGATGGCTGTGCAAAAGTCGGGGAGAGCACGGAAAGGGGGCGGTGGCCTCGCGTCCGTGGCGTCTCCTGGCACTGATAGAGCCGGCGGCCTGCATAGCTCACGAACGACAGACAGCGTCGACTAATCAGTTGACCGGCCTCGGAACACAACTGCCACGTCGGGCGGCTAATAGCGGCCATCAGCCCACAGGTCGAGCCGTGATTTAGCCGCTGATCGCCGCCGGGCGTCAGAGCTGGGCCCCGCTCGTGACTGGGGCAGCTCCACGCCGCCGGGCGTCAGAGCTGGGCCCCGCTCGTGACTGGGGCAGCTCCACGCCGCCGGGCGTCAGAGCTGGGCCCCGCTCGTGACCGGGGCAGCTCCACGCCGCCAGGCGTCAGAGCTGGGCCCCGCTCGTGACTGGGGCAGCTCCACGCCGCCAGGCGTCAGAGCTGGGCCCCGCTCGTGCCTGGGGCAGCTCCATGCCGCCGGGCGTCAGAGCTGGGCCCCGCTCGTGCCTGGGGCAGCTCCATGCCGCCGGGCGTCAGAGCTGGGCCCCGCTCGTGACCGGGGCAGCTCCACGCCGGGGTCTCACGGTAACGGCTCGGTCTCGTCCGTGACATGCTTCCTGACGACCACCAAAGCGCTCTGCCCAGTCACTCATCAGAAACCGACCAACACCTTAGCCCTCGGAGCATAAAAGGGGTGCTGTAGGTCACGGCGGTTCCGTGACTACGTGACCATGGTGGCTTGTACAAGGAGATTGCATGACTACGCGAACCAGTTTTCGGCTAGAACTGGACTGTGCACGATCTATTCCGTGAACGCGCCATAATCACGGAAAAAGGCATGTCCGGGGGGGGGGGGGGGGCGTGGTGTTGCCTCCTTGGCCACAACGTGTCTACGAGCACGCGGGTCTTCGTTGTGTACACTATGGGTGGGAATGATTCGGACAGAATTTTGGGAAGGCTGGCGACTGACGGACTAATGAGTCCGGCTTTTTCCGATCGCCGGACGGGCTTTTTAGAGCGGAGAATTTCTGGCCAGGAAACGTTCTTTAACGTGCGTCTTTATTCCGCATTTCTACAAGAGGAATGTGTCCGCGGTCACCTCCAAATGCTGTCCCTGGGAGTAGCTGAGCACACTGCGCAGCAAAATACGCGAAGATTTCGTCAAAAGGAGCACGGCAAACTGCTATTTAAAACGCTCCGCCGTCCAAAGCTGAGCTCCTCTATCACCTTTGGCGCGCCCACAACCCGGGGAGACAGCGACTTGTCGCCGTTGCGCCCTACGTTTTACCACTGCGCAGGGATGATAAATGTCTTGGTCATACTCAAGCTCGTCATGCTCAGCTATCAGGACCGTCCAACATGATAAAATGTACCTTACCAAGCGCCATGGCGCCTTTTGAGGTACGCTGAATGTTGCAAAGCATTTCCATGACATTAGTCTATGTGAGTACCGCTTACGCAAGTCACATTTTCAATATCACAAATCGTTACATAAAACGCACGCTATAAGAACAGCTGATGATATGTCCCATGGAGTGTCACTAAAACGATATTAATGCTTGCATACCGTTTTTATTGTAAACACTGTTACATGAAACGCGCATGGCAAAACACCGGCGGGTCCTGGGAGGGCATGTTCCACAAATGGCCAGAAGCGAGGGCATGATGCCCCCCCCCCCCCCCAAAGCTTTGGATTTGACAAATGGGTTATTTTGTGGGAAGTTGGAATCAGCACAAGCCAAAGAAGAGAAAATAATAACATGGGAACAGATAAAACATCCTTCGCATTTTTGAAGAATACGTTAAGGCTTCATCAGAAAATAGGAGCCACAATCATTACCAGCCAGGGGCCTTCAGTATCTAACAGGGGGTCCTGTATTGGCAAGGTGCCCCGAATCTGCCAGAGACATTGTTCGAGGGGGCCCTCGGAACCACTCGGGACCGACGTTCAAGGACTCGATTGAAAGGCTGAGGGGCCCGACGGGCCCAATAGCTGGCTGCTTGTCATATCAAGGATCCCGGCCCGTAGGGCCGTGACCTCAAAAGTGAGCCAGACGACCTCTTGCACCGATTGGGGAACCATTGGAAAATGCGAACCTCTTTTTCAACCAAAGACCGCCGACACCGACAAATCAGCCTCGTGTACCTCGGGTTAACGGTACCAGGGTACCACGCCCTGTGTCGCCAGAATAGCAGCCTACCGGCACCCAGTGCTGGGGTGAAATGGGCCATCAGCCCTTCACCGGGGTCGGTAATACGCCCGTAGTGTGTTACCTACAGGCCTTTTGCCCTGAAAAGGTAAGAGATCTCATAAAAATACACTAGTGTGGATCGAAATGAGGTAAAAAACAAGATCAACCCACGTTTGTAGGTGAACGTATGTCCTTTCGCAGAATCGACTTGTGAGACAAATTGCGCAAAAAAGTCTCGAGCCTGCACGCTCAATCTCGGGATTCACGACAGCGATGACCAGGGGTGCAGTTTCCGCAAATCCGCGCGGCGTTGACCCCCGCATTCAACACCAAGCGACAGACGGCGTGCGCGTGAGAACGACCGTAGCGGCATAGTGCTGGACTGGGTGAACATTTCGCCTGTCTATTTTTGGAGGTTCTCCTCTGAACAGAAACAGTTACAGCAACACGAAACATAGATATTCTTCCTGCGCTCTTCCACTTTCACCACCAGATTCCAGCACTAGTTTGCAGTGCAGTTAATATTTGTCCGTTCGTATTATCAATGTAAAAAGTGCACTTTTTAAATACAAGCTCACACTAATGAAACGTACGCCTCTTGCTCCAGAGATTCTAAACGGGCGAACTGATATCCTGAAGTCCTTAGAGCCTACTTTTTGTACGAGCGTCACCATTTTCGTCTACCCGTTGGCCGCCGCCTGGTCCTAACCGCAGGGCGGACGCCGCACGGCATACGGAGACTGCAATGCCGGGCGTCAGGGTTCCGTGTCTAAGACTCACAAGCGCGCACGCTCAAGCCTACGTTGAATGATTTTAATCACTAATAGACTATGACTGGAGGCCGAACAGAAACATTACCCTGATGAACATGGATTGGCAATGATAAGAACATTTGTTGACCCCATTTTGATCTACAATATAAGTTAGCAGGCACCTCTATATATCTGCAGAACCCAAACAATTCTTGCAAAGCCTTTAAGTTTCATCGTCTTAAGAAAGAGTCCACTGAACCAAATTGAAACAAATGACACTGGTGGTTTATTTCATTTAGTCGCTTACCGTCCGCCTACTTCGTTCAGTGATTTCAGAATGCGAACAAAATTACATGTTCCGGAAGTTTCTGGCTCCGATTTCAGTTTAATAACGTGTAAACAAAAATCAGGCGAAGAAAATCGTGCACTATTAATAAGATAACCCGCATCGGATGTTTTATGTAGGCGAGGGGGGGGGGGAGCTTTGCAGCCTCAGTGGGCCCTTTGTCAGTCCTGTGCTGCACTTCACCCCCATCCCTCCTCCCTTGCCGAGGCTATGACTGTGCCCCTGAACGCGAGCATTGCAAACTATCCCACTTGCTAACACATCATTAACCTCCAGAGAGAAAGAGCCTACAAAAAGCTTACCTTTACGTTCCCATGTCACAGCAATTGCGTCGAGATCAATCACTGCACCATCCCCCTGTTGCTCCCACCGTTCTAGGGCCTTGCTCCCACCTCATCATAGCCCGATCTTGTATTTTATGTTAAAAAATGTAAACAAACCAGGCTCATCGCACTTGCGGCATAATGTGATAAAATATGGTAGCTAAATATTGGAAACACAACCTGAAATATTCGACAGCTTGACACTTTTAAGCATCCAACGCTTTGAGGTAAGTGACAGAAATATAACTATGGCTGATTATTTGAACTCGTGCTTTTGATTTCACTCTCTGGCACGACATAGATGAATCTTGGTTACTTAGACACCTTCCAATACATTCGTTTGTACCTATTTTTCTCTTCGTCGACATAGCTTTTAAATAACATGAATCTATATATGTTACAAATCTCTGATCTCTCCAAGCTTGCTAAACTGGCTCAAAAATTTTGAAAAATTCGAAATAATTTTGGATCATGCATAAGTGTACTTGTTTCCTAGATCCAGTATAATCATACAGCGCGAAAAGTGGCCAGCGGCTCGATATGGTAGCTCGACTCCAGTGCGAGCTACCATTACCGCGTCACTTTTCACGGCGACCCTGCCAATTGGTGAGTGGGTGGTTGGTATTTCTGTGGGGTGGGCGTAACCGATGTTTCAACGTCTGCGTTTTTTTGCATGCATCTCTGGATGATCAGCAATGAGAGAAGTTGATAGGACGTCCTTTGTCGTATCGTGGAGCTCAGTGGGAGCCCGCTACCCTGGTTTTGATTACCGTGGTGTTGGACAGTTATCTCTCACCGCTCTCATTTTAATTTTGTGTTGGGCATCTTGGTGCTACAGTTATCATGACGCTGCTAAAGGGTCACAGCAGTGTGTCAAAAATCCTTCCTTTGTGCTGGACGCTTTGAAGCTTTGTGCTGCGCCCCATGGTTGTGTGTGTGGAACTGACGCTAGGCTCTTTTATTTATGGTTGTGTAAACAATGTTTATGGAGCAGTTTTGTCTGAAATTACATTGGCATCAGCTTATTCTGTGAAAAAATAGAAAAGCAGAATAGTTTGTTTTCAGTTTGTGTTAGAAAGCTAGGCTAGCCAGCTGGTTTGGTAAATTTCTGATAGAAGTGGCCTGCGCTGCATAATTTCGGCCAGAGTACTGATATGGGGAATTTGATAAGCAGGTTTCATAATGTTATGCCATTGATATTGAAGCTTTTGTGAGATTAGATTGTTGATCAAGTTGGCATGCATATATGAATGTATATATGTATGTATATATATATATATATATATATATATATATATATATATATGTATATTTATGTATATGCACATGTGTTTGTATATATAGCTATGTATATGAACTGGATGTAGTTCTGTTTCCAACATCTGGCAAATGATTTTTTATTAAATCACACTGGTAGGGCACATTGTGCATATCCAGCACCATGTTAATATATCTGTTTAAGAACACCACTATTGCAAACCTCATTTTGAACATATCAGAGCATGTCATGACCATGTGACAATGCTCAGTTAAAATGTGTTGTAATCTCAAGCAAGGGTGCAGTGTCCAAAAATAAGCAGGTTGATCAGGGTAGAATGGCTTAACTTCCTCTCAATATATGGTGAGAAATTCAGATATATTTTAGCTTGGTCCAGCACCCATAAAATATCTTCAGGCATTGGTTGTGTAGTCCTCCAAAAGCAACCACCATTCCCAAAAACTAGCTAGGAATTTGAGGTAGATGTCTGTAACCATGAGTAACCATGTGTAACCATAAGATGTCTGTAACCCTGTGGAACATGCCTCCTATTCAAGAAGGCTGAAAATTTATCAGTTACCATTTAAGTTTGATGTGACAGCCCATGACCAGAACTTGTGAACTTTGTGTAGCATGGGTAAATATCCCAGGCTATCAGAAGTTTTGTGAATATGCCTTGTTATTCAATGCCTAACTAAATGTGTGTTGCAATGGTGTATAGACATTGGGACTGCCTATGGCACAAATGACTTCAAGTTGATGTGGTCAAAGAAAAGCTGGTAAAAAAGAATTTGGCATATATAGTGTTGGTATGATTGATTATTTTGTCCACAGAGCCTTGAGTTGGAGCCTGCAGTTTTGGCTTTTCAGCATTTTTAGCAGCCAACTGGGCAGGAATACCAGCCAGGTTTAAGGTATGTGATAGTCTGCTGATTTTTCAAGATAACTTCTAGCATTACCTTCCTGGCTTTTTGCATCAAAGTTCAGCTTCACACTCATTGCAGTGGCAATGGCCATTTTGAAGCCACTTGAATGACTTGATCTTGTGCTAGGTGGTATCAGACTGCTAACATTACATAATAATGTGTGCATTACTTTATTTCCAGGCTTTCACCAGCATGATTCGCTTCATCCTTATCCAAAATCGAGCTGGGAAGACAAGGTTGGCGAAGTGGTATATGAACTTTGATGACGATGAGAAGCAGAAGCTGATTGAGGAGGTGCATGCAGTCGTTACCGTTCGTGATGCCAAACACACCAACTTTGTGGAGTTCCGCAACTTCAAGATTGTATATCGCCGATATGCTGGTCTCTACTTTTGTATCTGTGTTGACATAAATGACAACAATCTGTGCTACCTGGAGGCAATCCATAATTTTGTGGAGGTCCTCAATGAATACTTCCACAACGTCTGCGAGCTGGATCTAGTTTTCAACTTCTACAAGGTTTACACAGTGGTGGATGAAATGTTCTTGGCTGGAGAGATCAGAGAAACAAGTCAAAACAAGGTTCTTCGCCAGTTGCTCATGCTTAATTCGTTGGAGTGAGCGTCGTCTGGCCTCTGCATGTTTATTGAAGTGTCGTTAGCACTCGATATCCTTTAGGGTGTCCAGCGGGTTGGTTTCATTTGTGTACCCAATTTGTTACCGCTGAGGTGCTAAGACGGCTATATCATGATTTGTATATCTATGCTCGCCCGCAGTGGTGCATCCAGTTCGGCTTTCGCGTCCAGTTACACAAATAGGATTACACACCATTTACATGCCGCCTTTTCCCCTCCGTGGCGGTGCTTAGTCATTCCGAATTCGTTATGGTGCCTGCCATTTCAACTTTCCCACGTCGCGTCGTGTCATTGATGTATGTGACTCGGCCTTGTTGCGCGAAGCGCGCCGTCGGTCACCAAACAGAGTTGGACATAGTCGATTGTACTTCCCATTTGTGATATTGCGGAAGTACGTAGAAACAACGGCCCGTGCCCGTTTCCATTGCTCGCAGTCGCGTCGTCTCATATTCGTGCTGCATGTTGTCTGAGCTCTGTTTATCGTAAGGCGTTTTTTTTTTTCTTCTGCGGAACACTCCGGCGCTGTAGTAGGACCGATATAAATACAGGACGGATATGTGTTGAATATTGATGGCTCCGACCACAGCGTGTTGCGGGATTCCATGCATGTCCGCGTCATCCACCTGTAAAAAAATGATCGTGCGGTCTTCCAATGTAGACTTAAAGATGATCACACGCAATCGACATGGACTGATTGCAAACGCCGGCCCAAGCACCGAGCCCTGAACTCAGCCAACGAGCATATGCAAGGCATAGCGTTGCGCAACGAACGTCGATACGGACATCACATCATCCTTAACCACCCAAATGTGGCGCGGCCACTGACGCCGACAAAACGGGTGGGTAGCGTCACACACCCAAAGCTTACCGGAACGGTGCGTCAAAAAATACGCTAATTCACCATGTCCCTGCTTCGCAGCCGCAGCAGATTCCACATACATTACCGGGCATTCCCCTGCCCCCCCCCCCCCCCCCCCGTGCACAACTGCGCTGTGACCTCCGGATGCTGCACTGAAACTCCACCCCGAAGTCGCGCTCCCTCTCAGGCCTCCCACCTACCACCGCACCCATGCGTCCCAGTGCCGCGGCATGCTTCCGCGTGCACGATACATCGCGGCATTCCTCGCGGGTGTATCAAGCGCCACGGTATCATCCGACTGACCACGTTTCAGTTTACTCATGACACCTAGACACATTGTGGCAACGCGAATGGCAAACATGCTCGGCCGCGCAGACCATGGCCCCTGTCAAGGTCGGAATGGTTCAGTGCTCTCAAAGATCACCCGTATGCCGCCATACACCCCGGCTCCACCTTATATCAAGGTACGCCTAAGAGTTTGCCATGCGGCGCAGTTTCCGTCGGGTGCGACGGCAAATGCGTCATGAATTAGCTGAAACTAGCATGCACCCCATGCTGTGCACCGCGCCTACCACACGCCGCGGTACTCTCCCGGCTCCAAGAGCGACTGCTCGACCGCCCAGCCGTCGGCCCGCAGACGCTCCATCAGCTTGGGGAACAGCGACTCGGTGACGCCCTCGGCCGCCGCCTGCCAGTCTACCGTCCAATCAGTGCCGCCGGGCTCAGCCAGCAGCGCACCGATTGGCCCGGCCGGCGCGCGACCTTGAGCGGCCGCCGCGCGCATGCGCACCGCCACGGCGGCGGCCAGCACGGCGCGCAGCTGGTCGGAGGAGGAGGCGCCGCGCCGGAGGCAGACCAGCAGCTGACGGCGCGGCGCGTCCACCAGCAGCAGGTACGGCAGGCCGGCGTACAGCCGTGCCAGCCGGCCCAGCTCGGCGGGCGCCGCGCGCGCTGCCAGCCGCAGCGGTGCCGCGCCCAGCCGCAGCCGCCAGCCGGTCAGCGCTGCCTGCCCGGCCGCCGATTCGGCGCCCAGCACCACCGGCTCGAGTCCGTTGACGGTGGCGACACTCAGGTCGTGCCGGCCGCCGGCCAGCACGGCCGCCAGCACCAGGCTCAGCCGCGGCATGTTCAGCGAGGCCATCCGCACGGCGCAGACGGCACGGTAGTTGGTGTAGACGTGCAGCACAGGTGAAGAGCAAGAAGACGAGCCAGGAGGCGGCGCTGCCCGCCGCCACCAGCGGCAGCAGCGCCATTGTCGCCAGGAGGCCGACCAGGTTCACCACCCGCTCCTGGCTACCGTCCTGCGACGCAAGAAGCGCAGGATTTAACTGGGGCTTAAGCAAAGCTTCCCCATCCCTCTCTCATTTACTACACCGCTCAATGCCTATCGGCTGACGATCAGCTCGATATATCGTAGCTGGAACGATTACTACAGGTGGGCATGTAGTCTTACCTCTTACAACGTGACTGAAACAAGCGCCAATACTGCAGTAGCATTGCTTGTTCAGTAACACTGCTGTCATATGCATAATCACCATAAATTAAAACCCATAAATTGCATTGCATTGGGGTTGGTGTATACGGGGTGATTCACGGAGAAATCGCGTATGGGCAATGGATGGCTGGTATGAATATCCACACACACTGGTGTGGTGTTCCTGTCTTGCATGACCGTCGGATGTTGAAAGGGCGAGTCACTCGCGACGGCAGCACTGGGATGGCCGGCACACAGACAGCAGTGAACAGTGTGTAACCTCACCAATTCGGATCGTACCCGACCCTGAAACCGAAAGCTTTACATATGTGGCTGGGCAGATGGAATGCATTAGCTGCAAATGGGCCCATATCGTAGGGCCATAGTCGGACATTTGGCCTGACCTTGACAGACAGGTCAGCCATGTTGCTGCGGAGTGCCTGATGCTGGGTGATGGCGGCTCGTGTCGCCCCTCCGGCCACGCCAACCAGACTCTTGGCCAGCCCAGCTCCGATCACTGCCACCTGTCGGCGCCAAGCCGAAACAATAGTTACCACACCCGAGTTCGTGAAAATCTGACTAAGGCCGCAAAAAGGCCCTTGCCGTGTGGTGCGACTCCGAGGCACCCGCAACGCAAATAACGCCTGCCATTATGGGACTCACCAATGCCACAAAAAGACTGATAACGATGCCCACACCGAAGGTACGTCATAAGACGACATCTGAGGTCACTACGACACGATGCATTATTACGCGGTACACACGCCATTCGGGAATCTACCATCGATGTAGTAATCACCGACGCGTACCAGCAAAAAAAACAAAAACAAAACAAAACAGACAAAAAAACAAACCAAAGGCAGATTAATGCTCGTCAGACAGGTACAAGATAAAAGCTGCTACGTTGACAATGCGGCTCCTTAAGAAATTAGTGGGATGGATATTTTTAGTTCGGAATGTTATGCTTTGGTGAAAAAGGTCCCCAATGCTAAGCAAAAGCAGTCAACATTTTGTCACGCAAGGACATGAATCCAAAGTGTTGCAACCTACTTCCTCTGCCACAGAACAAATGCATTCGTGCAATGTAGGCGATTGCTCACGTTTTTTATTAGCAGTAACGACAACTGACATGGTGCCTGTGCATGCTCATGCATAATATGCGAGTTGCACCACCGAGAAGACTATTTACCTTGCATGTATTTCGTTCACACTTCATGCATACCAGAAACGTGTTTGAAAGGGTCAGAGATTTTCAAGGCTGTCTGTTGTTCCAGACCGCAGAAAGGACAATTATCTGCTTCTTGCAGTAGAGGCCTTGAACTGGAAGATGACAGCTCACAAACCATACCAAAACTCCCGTGACAGGAAGGCGGCAACTTTAGCACCCGCCTAAACCGCGTCCTGACGCGCCCGCGATGTAACCATCACTCGACAAGGTGGCCCACCTTGAAGACGTACGGCCCGAAGGCAGGCGCCGCCAGCTCTAGGCAGATGGCGGCATCGTTCAGCACGTCGGCAAACAGGCGCCACTGCTTGCACCGCGCGTCTAGGCCGGACGAGGAGAGCCAGGCGAACACGATCTGGCCCGCCATGCCCATCCCGTCCTGTCGCAGCGGCGCCGAGTCGGGCCGGGGCACTGGCGCCACATGGGATAAACGGCGCACTGCTGGCAGGTCAACATGCAAAACACAATGTGCTTGAAGGATGAGGAAATTACTTTGCAATGTATATATATATATATATATATATATATATATATATATATATATATATATATATATATAAGCTCCCTACAGCAACGCGATGGCAGGCAGTCACACCTTAAAGAGCCACTTTAAACGCAGAAACCGAACGGGATGGACGGTGACGTTTTATCGGCTACATTGTTCGGCATGGGCGGCCGCGTCGGCGCCCCACATTACCACTGAGATGGCCACTGGGCCCCGCCCACCTTCAGCAGCCAGGTGATGGTGGCGGCCAGGGGCGTGGCATCCGCGTCCCCCACGCCCATGCCGTGCAGCACGGCCCGGGTGGCCAGTGCGCCCGTGATGTTGCTGCAGAACGCTTGCAGCGTGTCCCAGACCTGGCGGCCACAAAGGCCCCGTCACACAGCTGACGTCGCGCCGGATCACGCGGCGCCCGCCGGCGCGTCAGCAAGGCCGACACCAGCCGTCGAACCCGGGCCGAACGAATGTGACAGCGCCAGGTGGAAACAGCAGCAGGAAACATCCGAATCAATGTGACGTGGAGTGGCGAAAACAACTCTGGAGTGAAAAGTGCCTGTCACCTTTAATGATCTTGATTGGACAACGCAGATAAGACAGTAGTATTAGCCTTATTCTTCGGAGAAAAACCCGGAGAATGGAGATATGGTTAGGTTGATATTTCGGCAACATGCGTTTCTCAAAACAATAGCGGAAGTGAATTCACTTCTGAAGTGAATCGTCACGCGCCGCTGGGAGCCAGGCACCTCACGCGCCGCTCCGAGCCAGGCACCTCACGCGCCGCTCCGAGCCAGGCACCTCACGCGCCGCTCCGAGCCAGGCACCTCACGCGCCGCTGGGAGCCAGGCACCTCACGCGCCGCTCCGAGCCAGGCACCTCACGCGCCGCTCCGAGCCAGGCACCTCACGCGCCGCTCCGAGCCAGGCACCTCACGCGCCGCTCCGAGCCAGGCACCTCACGCGCCGCTGGGAGCCAGGCGCCTCACGCGCCGCTCCGAGCCAGGCACCTCACGCGCCGCTCCGAGCCAGGCACCTCACGCGCCGCTGGGAGCCAGGCAACTCACGCGCCGCTCCGAGCCCAGCCTCACCTGGTACTCGAGGTAGTCATCGCTGACTGAATCCGGGTAGCCCTGCGGCAGGAAGACTTCGCGCAGCGTGCCGAGCAGACCGCGGCGCTGCACTTGACGGTTGGTGACGTCGGCCACCCCGCCGACACCGACCAGCTTGATGGTCGCCTCGTGCGCAGCACCAAAGTACTGCTCTATGACGTCAGTCATGATTCTTCATCGGAGTCTGGGCTCGGTTTCCTGTAATGGCGATCGGCCAAGGGCCGACGACATCAGTTAAGGTATGCACTGTCACTATCAGCACAGTTTTACAACTTCAGCGTCAGTTCAGGTCAACCAGGCGCTAAAGTTGGATGGTGTGTTTTTAAAAAATGTATCCGAACCATTCAAATGATTTGATTTGTGGGATTAAAGCTCATGCTAAGCAGTGCTTGTGGTGTGAGCCCTGATCCGTGCCATCAGGCCATGAAATTTCAGGTGAACGGTTGAATTCGGGGGCCAAAGTTTAATGGGCCGCACGGCTTGGCACGGTTTGTGGCGCTCTCTGGCGCCTTTAGCATGGCCGGTGCCATCGGCCGCACGCCATACCTATCAAGGTCAGATAGCGAGCGCCTGAAGCGACTCCACCCCACCCCGCCACGAATGAGTGGACCGGAAGCGACTTGAGCCTACCCCGCCAGGGGTGAGTGGACCTGAAGCGACTCGAGCCTACCCCGCCACGGGTGAGTGGACCGGAAGCGACTCGAGCCTACCCCGCCACGGGTGAGTGGACCGGAAGCGACTCGAGCCTACCCCGCCACGGGTGAGTGGACCTGAAGCGACTCGAGCCTACCCCGCCACGGGTGAGTGGACCGGAAGCGACTCGAGCCTACCCCGCCACGGGTGAGTGGACCGGAAGCGACTCGAGCCTACCCCGCCACGGGTGAGTGGACCGGAAGCGACTCGAGCCTACCCCGCCACGGGCGAGTGGACCTGAAGCGACTCGAGCCTACCCCGCCACGGGCGAGTGGACCGGAAGGCATGCGTTCTCACCGACTGAGCTATCGGGACGAATTGGACGGATATCTGACGGACATATGATCGAACATTTTACCAAGGTGGAGATTTGACCGAGTCGGGCGCCCAGTGACCCAAACAGCCGACGCGCCCTTAAATCCCAAACAACAAAAACAAAGATTTGATCGAGTTCGATATTGCATCAAGCAAGGGAGTACTGGAGAGGCCATTTAACTGGCCTGATAACATTGACTGTAAATGACATTACTTTTCGAGGTTCTTGGAACCTTCCTGTAAAGGATTTACTACTTCGGGACGCCGGGAGGTCTCAGAGATACCAGGCCTGCCAAAAAGTTGAATTTCATATGTTTCTGAGGATGACGCAGATATTATTCTTTCAGAGGGCAGCTCTGCAGGCTAAAAAAACCAACAACTTAAACATTGCTACTGTTATTTTGGTTTCGGCGCCAGTACAACGGACCATATCATAATGGAAATACCACCACACCCTACTTTCACCTTTTCTGGGCTAGTGCTCTGTTTCCCAGAGTGGCAGTGCGCAACTAAATATAGATTTCAACGACAGCTTTAGACAACGCGGACCTCATCCTATTAGAATCGCTGCATCTTCGTAATATCCGTCCGAGTCTAAACAAACGAAAATAATGGTGGGACCAAAACGCCCCCTTTTAAATATACATTGAAGCAACAGCTACGAGAAAGCAGAACTTAATCTATTAGAACCTTGGCATCTTCAAAATATCCGTCCGAGACTGAACAAACAAACGAAATCTGGAGACCAGGTTTGAACAGCGCTGTTTATGTAGTGCACCTGTAGAAATAGTTTTGCAATCTGCCATATGCAACTGCACTCGTTATCAAAAACTCCCGGTCACGCCTCCCGTTCTTAATGCATATTTTTGCCCAATATTTGCACTTGTGATCGCACTCGCAAAGGTTCGAAATATTGAGTTTAAACAATGCATCCAATATTTGCCTGATAACGTTGTTTACCAGTACATGATGCTCCTTGCAGGCCCACTTCTGTCAGTATAAAAACCCGTGAACTCAGAATGTCACAAAACAGTAGTTTTCTTTTCTGACTTTCGGGCAGCTAAACTCGCTGGAAGCACTTGATCTGACATTTAAGAACGAGTAACTAGAGAAGAGACAGCAAGGGCCTTCTATAAATTACGTTACGCATTTTTGCCATTTTCAAACCCTTTCCCCTGGTTACACACTAGTTACGCTGGGTGCAGCCCTTTCCTCCCCTGGTTATGCTGCGTAAAGGCGTAACTATAAAAAGGTAACGTCCCTTCGGCCATGATTGATCTAATAGGTTCTAAATAAGGACGGGCGACTTTTTTATCCTCGGCGGGAGCCAACAATGCTAGGTTTTAAAGTTTAACAACATTTTACAACAAACTAGCATGATTTGCAACCACATCTAAATACGCCGTTGCACCATCAGGCCCCAAAAAAAATTATTCCATGACTTAACCTAGAGCCTAAGAAAAAATCAGAAGCAATTCACAAGACAGCACAAGTCAAAACAACCAGGTATCCAGCTACACAGTTCATGTCAACATCAACACATCCCAAATTGTGGCTTAATAGGCAGGTGGTAGTCCTTCACTCAGAACCAACAGATGGCACTGCAGCTGTTTTATTGTGGATAATTAAAAGCAAGTACTTTGCAGTCGTGTTATTTTTTCTAACATCTGTGTGGAAAATGACACATTCTCATGTCTTTTAGGCATACTTACACTGCTTTTTATTTCATCCTCTCCACCAAAAGCAACCAGCCATATTAGTCAACACTTTTCTGAGAGTACCTTAACTGCTATTCAGAACTTTACAAAGCATATGACCATAATGCAATCTTTCCCACATTGGATACAGGCAACATTTGTGTTTAGTTCAGATGATCAAACAGAAGAACCATCCCAGGGCCAACCAGGGCCCATCCTTCATCATATCCTGCTCCATGCAAAATGTCATCTACAGGAAATGGAGAAGATTATACCTGCTTCCTGCAACCATCATACCATGCATCCTGAATGTCTGATCCTGTCGGTATTTCACCTGACCTGGACTGTGCGGTGAATTGAAATGAGCTACATGCCTACAGAACATGCTCACAGGTATACCACAGACAAGCACATACTGATACATAACTATATTTGATGACAATAATGCAGTAAGCATTGACAGACCCAATCAGCATGCAATGAGGCTGGAAGCTGCAATCTAAATGCTAATAGCATACCCAGTATCGTTTAAACGCCCATATTACACCACATGGCCATTGGGATCAAACCACAAGATTATGATAATTTGGGCTTCAGGCATATGGCATCACACCGCAAGGAAATGACTAAAGTATTTATCATTTGGAGCCAATTATTATCAGCCCAACTGCAAAATAGCCTAAAATACCGCTCTGACGAGGCGCACTGGCCTACCATTACAATAAACATGTCCAATACAATACTCAGTCTAACGCGCATTGCTTCGTTGGTAATCCAAAAACATTCCCGAGCGTATTTGGTACAAATTGTTATTAAGAGAGGAACAGTATTTAGGACCGATTCGTACTAAAAACGGCCGAGTTTAGTATGCATCGCTACATACTGAATAATGCAGCCCGGTAATCTAAGGCTCAACGGAAAAAATGAGGCCATTTAGAGGTGAACTTCGTAAATTTATTTTCGTTGGATGGGAGTGGAAAACCTGCACCATTTTGGGATCCCAATTCTCATTCGTTGCGACTAGCTCCCAGACCGCAGCAAGGTCGGTCGGTTGGTGGTCAGAACGGAGTATGGGAGACGCGGCAACGAAACGTGCCTGGAGAAACTCGCGCGTAATTTATAAAAGTGTGTTATCTATCAACTGAGTATGATATTGATAGATCCTGGACCACAGGCCCTTGGGAAAAATTGGCATCCAGGTAGTGCGGGGAATGGGATACTTGTCTTGAGATATAGTGATTAGCATCAGACTTGGGTTTGACTCAAATGTCTTGAGTCAGCTCCAGACTGGCTCACAGATTGCGGAATCTGATCCAGCTCGTGACTCTGCTGCTCCATTTTTCATTTGACTCAGTTCGGACTATGCTTTCATAGAATCAATTGCAGGGGCGGATCCAGGATTTCGTCAAGGGGGGGGGGGCATGCAACATTGTGGGATCGCCTGGAGTCTGGGGTTCACTCCAAAAAATATCCTTCCATTTCGGTCATTACATTTTAAGAGAAGTCACATCTAATATATATATATATATATATATATATATATATATATATATATATATATATATATATGTGTGTACATATTTTTATTTAGCAAGACTGCAGACTCAGCATGACGAGCTCTTTAACGCATCGTTCTAGTTTCCGGGCTTGTGGCTCGACATTATTGTTAAGATCACAGATGGTTCGCACGAAATTACTCGTATATTCGTCGCTCTTTACATTCTAGCGTTTCGAGATCCTATCTCACCCTGGTATTGGAAAACATATTTTGGTACGGAGAACACAAATGAAGTATGACTAATTGAAGTAGACAAGAATGCTTTTCCACTTTGATGCATATAAAATACACCATTATGGGAACAATAGAAAGACACAATGAGAACATGTTTGCCAGAATCGCAACATCAATAGTGCCCGCCGCCCACCCCCTAAAAGTTCATGAGTTGTACACGAATGTGTTTGTTTAGGCCTGGAGAGAGTTCGTTAATGAATATATTTTCCCAAATTTGAATGCGTCTTCTGTCAATGCACGTCCGTAAAATGTCAGTGTTTTCTGTCAGTTGTTGTCGTGTCAATGTCCTGTCGTGTTCGTGTCTCATGTGGACCAGAGGTGTTCCGTCACGTAAGTGCATTGTGAGACGTCGTGAGAGTGTCGTTGTCGTTACACCAATGTAGTGTATGGAACAAAGTTTGCAGCCTTCAATGTTGCATTTGAGTTGATACCCTACATTGGTGCATTTTAGTCTTGTTTATTTGAGTATGTCTTGTCTTCGTTTGCTGTCAAAGTGTCTTGTCATATGTCATTGTATTTCGTTTTCAACGTCAGAATTGGAAAAAAACCGTTGTTCACCAGGATCTGTCTGATTCTTATCAATTCTGAATGTATTCCTGTCCAATCAGAGCAGTGCTTTAATGCACGTCTAGTGAATGCCATTATGACGCCAATTTTGCAGCGTCGAGGAGACTCACTGTCAGCATTTGAGCACCGTCCGTTGTTAGTCTGTTTTCGGTATACAGCCGTTTCAAATATTTTGTACTTGTCCACCAACAGTCACGTCAAGAGAGGGTATTATGTTTTGCACACTTAGGTTCTTTTGTGAATTTTAAACCACGCCACTCTTCAAAGGTGTATTTGAGACGTTCTAGCTGGTCAGTGTGATATCGTGATATCACATATATGTGATATAACTTGCACAAAGATATCGTCTACATAGCGGCAGTAAATGTCCGGTCTTATGCCGCCATTTTGTAGTGTGTCGGCTTCTACATGCCCCTCAAATAAATCAGTTAAAAAAGTTCCTAGGGGTGAGCCCATCGCAACACCCTCAATTCGGCAATACATTCGTCCATCAGGCCCGCGGAAAGGCGCCTCCAACAAACAGGCTTCTGGTAATTGTTCAAGAACGTGCTATGATAAACTGAGACGAGGAATTTCGAAATGATTCTAAACGCGGTCAGGGATGATGGATATGGTTCTTTCAATGGGCACGTTTGTAAATGCCGTTTTGTAGTGCCAAATGTATGCCATCAACAGCAGTATTGGCAGCAGTAATTAGTTTGTTAAGCTTGGTATTGAGTTTATCTGTTGGATCTTTTGTGATGCGCCGTGAACTTCTATTGTTCGTTCAAGAAACAGTTGAGTTTGTCACATTTCTTATTGTTAAGAACTACGCAGAGCGATGATTTGTGCGTTCGCCGAATGATGGTGTCCTCTTTTTCTCGAAGTTCCTTTGCCGCCGTCCTGAGTACTTGAGTGAATACCTTGCTCCTGTCATTTCCACGCGTTTTCGTGCTCTCTCCCAGTAAGCTGTCCTTTAGATCCGTCCTCTTTTTCCAAATTCGAGATCGAGAAGAGCTGCAGGTATGTTGCCCTGAACGTGAACTTAAACAAGAAGTACCTGATGAACTTGACGCGATTGAATGTGATGCTAGACGTATTACTAGAAACAGAATCTTGAAACAGCTCTCAAGGCTCCATGGTGGACATGTACACTGGGTTATGGTGATGACACCAGGGAAAAAGGCATTCCATACTTGGCATTATAACTTGATTTGAGTTAAGTCACAAGTGAGTCCTAAATGTGAACTTAATTTTAAGATGTGCGTGTAAGTTGAAGATATCGAATATAGGAAAGGCCAATGTACAGCATATAAACGATTTCATTGATCAAATACTTTAACTTTTTGCATACAAAGACAATTCAGGATTCAGCTTAATTTAGCAGGCCTCAGTTTGGAAAACCAGAGCGCTCGGCACGGCCCTGGTTTTTCAATCTGGGAATTCCCCCATTGGGTGTATGATGCTATAGGATGTAAAGGACAACATCTGGCATAGCTTTGTGACCGATGGCAGAAATAGCATAAAATGTGTTGAGAAAACCTCAGGGATATATGTATATATATATATATATATATATATATATATATATATATATGCAAGTGGGAAGCCTGAGGAAGCGGTATGGAAACGTGCCCGGAGAAACACTTGCACCTAACTTACGGAGCAGCATGTTCGACATCACGTACTTTCGTGTCATTTTTTGTTGTGCAACAATGGTTTCCACGTGCAATCCAGAAACGTTAAACCGTGACGTACACGAGATGTTCTCTGTTCTCTCGCTTCTCCCTGGCCCATCAAGACACACTGCTGTTGTTTTGAGCGCGGGCTCGGGCCCGGGGGCTGCGCCCGTTGGTGTCGTGGGTGGACGGTAGGTGAGTTAAACGCGTGCTGGTGAGCAGCAGCGGGCCTGAGCACTGAGCTGCATTGGAAGGAAAAATTGTGTGTGATATGGTAGAGATTCGGCTGTAACCCGCAAGCAGTGTCTCTCGTTTAGTCGTGTGAGTGTGGCACGCGATACCGTCAAAGTTTCAGGAACAGCTCGCCTTCGTCTCACATTACTCACAGAGAACACATTTTATATTTTTTGCGGTGTATATTTTTGGAGAACAAAATGTCTTCGGGCTAAAAGCACCAACAAATATCCAGGTTTCACACACTGCAGAGAGGTCTGAGGCATTTGACAGGCAATTCATATTGAGGATATTCAGCCCCTTATAAAAACGCTATTATCAATGTCGGGTGGTCAGCTTCCCGCTTTTCGAAAGTTCCCGGATGTGGGGGGGGGGGGGGGGCGGTCAGAGGAAAACTTATGGGAGTCCGTAATTGATAGTTTGGGGGTTGGAGGTTGGTTTGTGGTTCTTTGGTTTTTGGAGGAGGTTTGGAGGTTCGTGACTACCCCACCAGGTGTCAATTGCGTGACACCCCACATGGTGGTCGTTATAACATTCCGACACCCGAAAGTGACTCCCGCCTCGGGTGCGACAGAGAAAATCGACTCCTGCATGATTTCGCGGCAGCACAGCGGCCGCTTTTTCGGAATGTGACACCTCTAACGAGCTTTGAGGCCACGAATACGGTGTTCGAGTGCGACTCGTGGGTGTAAAAACTGTTTTCAGTGTTATGCGTACTAAACCCCGCAGGCTTGAAAACGAATCGACACCAAACACCGTACCCCTCTTAGTAAGAATTCGTACCAAATATTCTCGAGGATATGTTGTGCTTGACCAAGACCATGTACAAAAACAACACATCCTCGAAATTTCGTCAAGTTGGCACCACATCCACATTCAGATTCAGGTCCATACTCGGGATTCAGCGGACTCCTCAAATTGCCCTGAAACCTAGCACGCAGCTGCAGTTTGACCTCCTGAACACAATGAGCACAAAATATCGGACCGGTACGGTCTATCACCGGAGATATATCAATATCAAAGATCACAATGAAAAAGGCGGACTCCTTCAATTATTTCTAAACTCCGCGTGCTGGTAGATATTGACCTTCTGATTACGCTAAATACAAAATCTCGGACCGGTACGCGGAATCAAAAAAAAAAGCTGGTATAATGTCAAGGTCGCGAATGCAGCACGTATTGCATTTTATCATGCTTAACTCAGTTTCATGTTCGAAATTTAGCGGACTCCTCAAATTGGCCTGAAACTTTGCACATAGATGCAGTTGGATCTCCTGAGCACAGCGAGCTCAAAATCTCGGACCGGTACGCCCTATTTCCAGATATATCACAATATGAAAGATCACAATAAAAAATGCGGACTCCTTCAATCCTCTCCGAAATCCGTGTGTTGGTACATGTTAGCCATCTGATTACGATAAACACAAAATTTGGGACCGGTACGCTGTATCAAGAAA